TCTAATTCATAAGCAGCCATCTGATAGAAAACCATCACTATGTTTACCATATTATATTAACAGCCTGGAAGCGCTCTAACAATTCTGTCCATGCTTCTTAAGCCACTTCCATAGTGTTTCCCAAAGGGGAGAAAAAACAGACAAGTAGATCATATAAAGAATGGGGTGGGGGGGACTCTGCTCAAATGGCCGACAACTGACATGTCTCATGTTTGTAAAGAGAACAAAGATCTGTCCGTCAAGACTGACTTGACAAGACTACCTGATGAAATGCTAAGTGACGAAACAAGAGCTTTTTGCACTGAATAAAGCAAAAGGTCGTAAGGAGTCTACAGGCCTTCAGGCGCTGTATTGTGCTTCAAAGGGAAGGTTAATGTTTAAAAGGAGGGTAAAGAGAGCAGCTGTTAAAGCACAGGACTTGCGCAGCATGAGGAATACAAAGTTCCAGCAGAAAGTCTGAAGGTAAGATTGTTTAAAACAACAAGATCTGCAATTGCCATAACGTATCTTAAGTGATGCTCCCATTCTAGAAGCACTATAACAGAATGAATGGGAGTAAAACAGGTCAGAGTGGAGATGGGGAAACAAACTAAACCTCTCTTCCTTGGGTGCACTCATGAAGAGGGGATAAAACGCTTTTATTTTATTAACTAACACACTAGAGAAGATCCCAAAGATGTACAACTGAATACTAAAGTGAGGATCGTCCAAGCCACTGTATTACCCATCACTATGTACGGATGTGAGAATTGGGCAGTGACGGAAGTGGACAAAAAGAAAATCAACTCATTTGAGATGTGGTACTGAGAAGAGCGCTGATACCATGGACAGACTTCAGCAACATCATCAGAAGACATGCGTCAACAGAAAAGACAATAATGCTCTGAAAGGTGGAGGAAGAGGGGAAGCCCACATAGCAGATGGTCAGACTCAATCAGGGAAGTCATGGCCTGAACCTGAAGGACCTACTGTATACACTCATGTATAAGTCCAAAAACTTTAGTCAAAAATTGACCTAAAAAACCTGAATTGACTTATTCACAGGTCGATGTAAATTCTGTACTTTAATTCTTATATAAAACATGGAACCATCCCTTTGTGAAAGGCAAGAGTGTTATCTGTCCTAAAGGCATTTATGGCTTCTATTCTCTCACCATCCAACATTTAGTATGAGCACAAACAAGTACGCCTGCTGGAATTCTATAAATTCTTTGGCATTGTTTTCCCTTTGCTTCATCCTTTACATCCTTTGTTACATGCCCTTAAATTTGATCCTCAACTTATCTACAGATCATATCAAAATCCATAATTTTGTCCCCCAAACCTGCCCTTGATGTATACATGAGGTCGAGTATATACGGTAAGTAGAGCAGGTTAGGGGGACTTGGAGATGCCTCATCCATGAGGTCAGCATGAGTCAAAGTTGACTCAAGAGCAGTCAACAACAACAACAACATACAATAACATGTGAATCCTACACTCTGGTCAATATTAGTCACATTTTATTGCAACAAGACAGTTTTGTAGATCGTAGTCTGACGTTGTTTTTTCATTAATATGCTGTAGTTAGACTGATCCCCATTTGTTCGGCCAGATAATCAAAAATGGAAGCAAAAACATCTGAACTCTCCCTCATGCCCCAAGGTGACCAAATGTCCTAACTGCAAAGAGGACAATTCACTACAAAATATAGGACATTCAAGAAAAATGTGGGTCATTGCAAAATAAAAATTAAGAGCACTGATATAAAAATAAATTTATGCTTCAAAGGCATGTCCAAAATGGAGGACATTTTGGAATTCCTTTTGGACAGAAGGTTGAAATGTAGGAAATGTCCTGGAAAAGGAGGACATCTGGTCACCCTGCTCATGCCCACACTGGAAGAGGACGAAAGGAGGGAGTACGTAGACCTAAGGCTTGTTGCAGTTTGTTGCTTCTAAAGTAAACCAGGTTTATCGTTGCAGCTAAACAGCTTGCAGGTTGACCTTAAATGTGAAAGCTTCAGTTTAATCAGAGATTTCCAATATGAATACAAACTGTTAGTAAACACTACATTCTATCTGTAAGGATGTTATCATAGACTTTTGGCCAGAAAGCCACACTACTTCCTATTATGGTTAACCCATGAAGAGCCATATCTGGAGCCAAAAAGGAATTACTAAAAGTTACATAAATAAGCAGGAGCTTTTAAATGACTACATTATATTCTCAAAGCACTACAATCCCATCCCATTCTTTTAGCAACTTAAGGATGGCACTATAACAGGAATCAAATCTAAAACAGCAATTTTTTTCATCCTTGTTCTACAGTGTCTTATGTCTTTGCCAGTTTTATGATTCCTAATGGACCACCTAGTTGCTTCTAATATGCTCTTTAAAATGTTTAGAAATGAGATGCACATGTTGAAAAAAATAGGAACAGACTGTATGGATATGAACCAGGCTGTGTCTAGTAACAGCAACACTTCTTGCAACTGACAAATGAAACTGCTGCTTCCTTGGTAACAAATTTCCAAGGAAAAAATTCAAAGCATTAATACCACATATACACTCAAGCAAGAAGATTGATACCCATGACACAGGTCTGAAAATGTAAACTACTTCCCAATGTTTTAATAAGAGTCATGGTCATCTTCATTTCTCAGTTTGTGGGGAGGGGTGCAAGACTAAGCGGGGGGGGGGGGGGGGGGGGGGGGGGAGAGAGAGATATGCATTAATTTTAATTTATTTTTATTTTTTTGTTTATATCCCATCTTTCTTTTACAGGGTCCAAGCCAGATTTACAAAAATACAAAAAAAAAGTCATTTGTTGCTGTAGTGTGTCTTCAAGTCACTTCCGACTTATGGTGACCCTAAGACAAATCTTTTATGGGGTTTTCTTGGCAAGATTTGTTCAGAGGAGGTTTCCCCAAAGCTGAGAGCATGTGACTTGCCCAAGGTCAGTGGGTTTCTATGGCTGAGTGGGAATTTGAACCCTAATCTCCAAAATTGTAGTCCAATGCTCAAACCACTACACTACAGACTACCCTCAAATATTCTTTAATTCTTTTGCATGAGATGGGTCACAAACAAACATAAAAACTAAATCTGTGTGTGTGAAGTCTGTTCAGTCTGAAACTATGTGGCCCAGTGGTCTGATCCAATATGAAGCAGAAGTCACTTTTCCACAACTGAGGGTTACTGATCTCCTTTGATTTTCTATCTGTTCACACTGATTTTTTTTAAAGAGACGGCTATGCATCCAGATAAAATTTAAGGTTTTGCTTCACCAATTTCAACCTCGTTGGAAATCTCGGCTTTAAAAGAAAACACACCTGATGAGTTATAAATATTAAATATAGTTTAAATTTTAAAAACTATATTAAAGAATGCTGTGGATCAACTATTGAAATTAGTAAATGCAATTTAACACTGCAGAAAGCAATCTCTTGAGGCATTATCCTTGACCTTAGCATCATAATGGGAATATCTGCTATGCTGAATTCATTGATGCATTCTCCACAAGTCACCCACCAAAGTTATCCACAACCTTAGAGGAGCTGGGTTTGGGTATGTCTGTGTACATTTTGCTGTTATTTCTTCACATTCAACATTTTTATATCAAAACTGAAAAAATAATATTAATGTGTTTTTATTTGTTTCAATTTAGAACTCAGAACACTCCAAAGAGTAGGTTACACCTTCATTCTGCTTGAAACGAAGCACTGAAAGCACATAAACCATAGTCTAGCAATCAGAAAAATGTCAAGACCATACAACACATCAGTACAAGAACCACAATATGGTTCCTTCTGTCAGCAAGTCAAAACAATTTTATGCTGTCAGGCTTTTGCAAACTGACTCAGGTTGGACTTTTAATGCTGTGCTGTGCTGTTTTTAATGTTTGTATACAATCTTTTCATGTATTTTAATATTTAATCTCTAACATTTTAGCATTATAAATTGTTTAATCGCTTTTTAAATCTTACATTTATGCTTTTATTAATGTCTTTGTATCATTTTTAATTTGTGTTTTTTAAAGTATGTTGTTAGCTACCTTGTGTCCCATCACTGTGATATAAATGACATAATAAATAAATAAATAAATGTTTTGTTGCTCATAAAATACAGTAGCTCATTGCTCTAATCCAGGGGTAGGCAACCTTTCCCCTTTAAGGGCCTAGGGACTTCAGCTCCCAGAAGCCTCAGCCATGTTGGCCAATAGTCCCATGTTGGCCAATAGCTCCTGGGATTCTGGGAGTTGAAGTCCCTCGGCCCTTAAAGGGGAAAGGTTGCCTACCCCTGCTCTAATCCATTTATTTTCTGCAAATTACAAGGGAGACTAAGGGGGGCTGCAGACGGGCAGCAAAAAGCAAAGCAAAGCAGCTTCATTTATATACCGCTTCATACAGCACTATGGGATGTCTAAGCGGTTTGCAACTTTAAGCTCATTGCCCCCCAACAATTGGTTACTCATTTTAGCGACCTTGGAAGGATGCAGGCCTGAGTCTAGCCTGAGCCCTGGCTAGTATTGAACTCACAACCTTGTGGTCTATGAGTGAGTGGCTGCACTACAGGCATTTAACCACTGCGCCACCAGAGCTGCCCCAGGAAGTGGCGGATCAGGGCCATGGCTACCCATGCCATGGCCCCAATCCTCCCTTTTGCCACCCCAAAAAGAGTGGCAAAATGCCACTCCTTTCAGGGGTGGCAAAAGGGCATCCTAAAAGCTGGTGCACGGCTCTTCGTTGCCCCTTCCAGCGCAGCACGTCAGGACGCTGTTGGCGTGGGGTTGGGGCGGCTGGCGTGCTGCTGCCCTGCCCCATCTATGCCTCCAAGCCAACCCTTTGGGACGGTCTGTACAGGCCCTAAATGTGATGCACTAAATTCAAATGCCATTTCATTTAGGTGGAAGAATTCACCAGTCCTGCTAGCAAGGAATATTGGCCACAAAACGTAGTCAGGAGTGCAAATATTTACACACAGGAATTCAAATAAACAAACTGTGACCATTTTGATTATGAGAAATGGTGTAGTGGTTTGAGTGTTAAACTAAGACTTGAAACCAGGGTTCGATTCCCTGCTTGGCCATTGGGCAAGTCATATACTTTTAGCCCCAGAAAACCTCATGAAAAGTTATCTATCATCAGTCCCATGGAACAAATCCAAGATTTAAATGGACTCAAAGAGCTTACACTGTTTTAAAGTGAGGACAAGAAGAAGCCAGATCAAACATTTCTATATCTCCCTTTATGTTAAGATGAAAATAAAAGGATAATCAGTGAACAGTGAAATTGAAAAGCAACAATACTGAAACTGATTAAATGCACAATTAACCCGAAGAACTCATGGCCACAATGATCAACAACAACAACAACAAAACCTTAGCAGAAATTTACAGTGAGATGGGGCATGTTTTGCTGTTATAAAACATTTTCTTTTTCAGCATTAATCCCTTTTTGAATTGCAATTCATGTGCCTTTTATTTACCTTCCTTCCTCTTTGGGCTTATTTTTGTTTTATATTGCTTTTGATTAAACAGGTGCTAAACATGCCTGAAAGCACTAGATCCTCTAGTGTAAAGAGGTGTTTATTAAATACAATCATCCGGGCTACAGTATTTCCAGTTTCAATGTATGATTTTGAAAGTTGCACAGTAAAAGAAACTGACAAGAAGAAGTTCTATTCATTTGCACTGTGGTGCTGGAGGAAACTTCTGTGGATACCATGGACTGCTAAAAAGATAAATGAATAAGGCTTAGAAAAAATCCAAAGTCCAAATTCTCTCTGAAAGCCAAAATGACCTCTTTAATACCTGGTTAATCTAAATGAATTTAAGCCTCCAGGACCAGATGAACTACATCCAAGGATATATTAAAAGAACTGGCAAATATAATCTCAGAGACATTGGTAATAATCTTTGAGAACTCCTGGAGAACAGGAGAAGTCTCAACAGACTGGAGGAGGGCAAACATCCCCATCTTCAAAAAGGGAAAAAAAGAGGATCCCAAAAACTATTGCCCAGTTAGTCTGACATGGTCCAATTCCAATTCTCTTCCAATTCTGTGATTCTATGATTCTGTTACTAAATTGAGGAGGCATACTTTGGACATACCATGAGACTCACCGGGAAACACTTGGTAAAGCACAACGCAGTCAGGAGACCACACTATAGTAAAGAGACCATACTATAACTCGACTGACTCAATTAAGGAAGCCACAGCCCTGAGTTTGCAAGTCCTCAGCAAAGCAACTGATTATAGGAAATCTTGGAGGTCTCTCATACATAGGATCACTATAAGTTGATCTTGAGGTGGGAGTGAGGGTAAGAGTACTGAAATGTGTGAGAAAATGGACTTCTAAAGAACAGAAGCCCATGCAGATGGTTCAACTAAATAAAAAGCTCTGTTAACCAGCTCTACTTTCAGCTGTAATGATTATTTCCATCCGTCCTATGTTTATCAAAAAAAGATATTCTATTGGCATTTGTAAATTAAAGAGTAGAAAGGCCTAGAAATGAATAAATAAATAAATAAATAAATAAATAAATAAATAAATTGTATCCCGCCCCTCCCTGTTGAGGATCAAGTGCTAGAGGGCCTTTACAGACTGCCAGACATAATGCAGCTTGAGGCCACTTTAACTGCCCTGGCTCAGTGCTAAGGAATCATGGGAACTGTAGTTTATTGTGGCACCAGAGCTCTCTGACAGAGAAGGCTCAATGTCCCAGAAAAAAATACAATTCCCATGATTCCCTAACACTGAGCCAGGGCAGTTAAAGTGGCTTCAAGCTGCATTATTTCTGGCAGTCTGTAAAGGCCCATTGTTATTTGTATTAACTGTTATGGAACTTTTTGTTTTGTGCCCCAAGATGTCAATTAATAATAATAATAATAATAATAATAATAATAATAATAAT